AGAATTTTAACAGTTGTAAAGTTTGTTTATTTATAATTGAATGACTTGAATATAAGTCATTTGTGTGCACTTTATAACTTTTAAATAACTAAAAAGAGAACTAATGGGAAGGGTGATGTTGTTTTGCATCACATAGCAAAAGAAGAAAGCAAAAGAAGAAAGCTTTATCCTCAAATTTGGTTCAACATTCAATCTATTTCTATAGTTATTTTTGAAGAAAACCAAAGATGAGAAACTAGATTCACGCATATATGGCGTGACGACAGGTATTAAGAATTTGACTGCTTTCTCAGATAAATGTGAATATTCATTTCTACAGCTCAACCAAAAATCAACCAAGGAGAGTTAATCAAAGTTCTCTTTTAAGGCAGAGTCACAGGAAAGTTCAATTAATGAATCCACTTCTGATGCACTCAATTGTAGTATTTCTTCATTTTCGGTGTCAATAGTAAACGGGTTCTTAATCCACATTTTATTGGCACCAATTGGAGGAAAATATTCATGTAAACTTGATGTTAGCCCCAAGAGGTGTTCTTGGATTGCTACAGAAATCGCATCTGAGATACTAGTTTGAGCATATTTTTCTTGTAATTCAGTTAAAATACAAAAAGACTTAAAGTTTCTCTTGTTAACTCGCTGTGCCCATAAACGAAGTTTTTTAATTGTTGCCTCAACTTTTTTGTGAACTTTGAAAATATTAATTTTAGTGCCTTGTAAATTCAAACTTAAATCATTTAAAAGACGAAATATGTCACATAAGTAAGCTACCATTGTTAACCAATCAAACTCATGAAACCTGTCTTTAAATGTAAATATAACATCTTTTGCTGATGGAGGGGGTCGCTCCAAGAACAATAAAACTTCATCCTTCATTTCAAAGAGTCGTTTCAAAATGTTTCCTTTCGACAGCCATCGAATCTCATAGTGTAGTAAGAGATGCTCATGTTCACTTCCTAATTCGTTGCACAAAGTAAAGATTCTGGAATTCAAAGGACGAGCTTTTATATAATTTATAAACTTCACACATTCTTGAAGAGTGGAACTCAAACGTGATGGCATAGTTTTCACAGCTAGTGCCTCTCTGTGAATACTACAGTGCACCCATACACAGTCTAGCGCTGCAGTTCGAATCCGTGAGACAAGCCCAGTATGAGACCCTGCCATTGCTCAAGCCCCATCACTGCTCAGTCCAACACACTTTTTCCAGTCAATATCGCTTTGAATAATAAAATCATTGATAACTTACAGATTTCGGCAGCCGTTGTTCTTGTTGGAAGTGGTTTACAAAATAAGAAATCTTCTTGAATGGAGCTTTTATAATCATATCTAACAAAACACATCAAATTGGCAGCGTCAGCTATATCAGTGCTTTCATCCACTTGTAATGCAAAAAACTGACAATTCTGTAGTCGATGAATGAGCATTTCTTCAATTTTACGTTTCACTGTATTGTTGGATAAAGACAGAGATCCCAACTGATTTCCCTTTTTTCCTCCATAAATGCGGGATGTAATAATATTCAATGCAGGAAGTAATAACCTTTCACCAACAGTATGCGGGTAACCTGTCTCGGCTATTAGTTTTGAAACTTCATATGAAGCCAACACAAAGTTTTCATTTGAAGAGCCCATTGAAAGTGCAATTTTTATGCTTTTTTTAGCAAAAGCTAATTCATTCTCTTATTTATGAAAAAATCTATGGGCTTACTCGCGTATTCTGGATGTTTGCATTCCAAATGGCGTTTCAGTTTTGATGGTTTCATGCACTCGTTGGATAGCTGTGTGTGACAGATTAGGCATAAATATTTATGAAAAAAAATCTATAGGCTTATTTGCGTATTCTGAATGTTTGCATTCCAAATGGTGTTTCAGTTTTGATGGTTTCATGCACTCATTGGATAGTTCTGTGTGACAGATTATACATAATGGCAAGTGATTACCACTACTAACACTTATAAAACCAAATTTCAAATACTCGGAATAATTGTGGGTCCAAGGAGTTTTTATCTTCTTATTCTCACTTGTACTATGCTGCACACTGGTACTAGGCTGCACATCATTCAAACATTTTTAGTTGTATTTACAGTCACATTCTTCAGCCATTTATCCATATTGAAGATGAAAATGAGAGGGTATGTTATTGAAAATAAAGAAAGAAAGCTTAAGCAGTTAACCTAAGAGGACGTGCACCACTGTGCAGAAACAAGCTGAGGCTGCCGTATCAGTGGCACTGCCAAAGCACTGTGCTGCCCCAGAGAGCCCGCCCCCTGGAGGAGACACTGAAATCCCATAGGAAGTAGTCCGCCACTTACCCATGGAGACCACCGTCCAGCAACCCTGGCTGCATCCTCCATCCAGCCCTGACCAGGGCTTGGGGGCGCCACATGGGCAGTCTGGGAGCCCATAATTCCCAGCCGTATCCTCCGTGCAGCCTGGCCAGGGCTTGGGGACACAGCGCCGCATGGGCAGTCCGGGAGCCCATAACTCCCAGCTGCATCCTCCGTGCAGCCCAGGCCAGGGCTTGGGGCTGCGGTGCCGCACAGGCCAGCTGGGAGGAGGAACTCCCAGCTGCATCCTCCGTGCAGCCCGGGCCAGGGCTGGGGGCCGCGGTGTCGCACGGGCCATCCAGCCCGGACCAGGGCTTGGTGACGCGGCGCCGCACGGGCCAGCTGGGAGGTGGGAACTCCCGGCTGCATCCTGCGGGAAGCCCGGGCCAAGGCTCCGGGACGCGGCGCCCCAGCAGCCATACTGAGGCCCAGTATTTTTGCTGCGGCCCAGTAGCAGGCCGCAGCCCATAGTTTGGGAAATGCTGGTATAGAGATATATCTTTTTTTTTTTTTTTAAGGTGCCAGTAATCCAGAGGAAAAGTTGTTGAACTCTGACTGGAGGTGCTGGTACTGCATCTGGAGGTGCCGATAATGTGTACTAGGCAATACCATCACAAAAAAAGCACTGGATATACTTATAGGCTATGTTTACCCTGCACAGTTATTTCGTAATAAACTATTCTGGAATAGTTATTCTGAAATAGCTTAATTCGAAATAGCACATCTACACTGTAGGGAAGCCTCAAAATTAGTCTGAGGTAGGCTTCCCTAATGTAGATGTGCTATCTTGATTTAGAGCCCCAGGAGAAATAACTTAGAATGGCCCTACTGAGGGGCTATTTTGAAATATCAGAAGTGGAGCATCTACACATGGCTTATTTTGAAATAGCTATTTTGGAATAGGTATTATTCTTCATAGAATAAGGTTTACAGAAGTCGGAATAAGCTGTCCGTTATTTCAAAATTATTTTGAAACAACCGAATTGCTGTGTAGATGGTCTCATAGTTATTTCGGAATAACAGCCCCAAGTGTGCACAGTCCATTTTGTGTACTGAATGAGGCAGAGGTCTCATGAAAGAAATTGTGCATACTGTATTTATATAAGTAAAGATTGTAAAACAATGTTGTGCATGAAGTGACAAAATTAAGGTTGCACAGTTGTTTAATAAGCCAGGGAAGTACAATATGCTCTTTTTTGTATTGTCTGTAGTAACTCCTGCTTACCATAAATACCCTCATTTGATAGGTATTGAATAAGATATGGAAATAGCATTCCTTTACTTACACTGCCTGACTCTGAAAATTGTCTTCCCCATTTTCCTTTTTATACTATATCTTCTTCTTGTTCATTAAAACACTAATCAGTACAGTTTGCTCTAATTGAAATTCCTTACAACTTGTTTCCTGCTAGGAGGACAATTGCTTTGGCAAGTCAGTGAGTTGGTTATGTTTTGGAAAAGATATTGCAGTGAAATGTATGGCCTTTGCTGTACAATAGACTTATTTTTTATTCTAATGTTTGCCATTTTTAATATGTGTTTACACAGATTGATATACTGAATGTATTTGTTAGTAACTTTGTATTTCTAATTATGAAACTCACTTGTACATTATGGTCAAAATTTACTATCATAGTATTCAATCAAATTACTCATTTGAATCATTATTGATCCCTCCTACCTGCCATAATCCTTATGTATAAGTGTTTTATTCATTTAAATAGTTTCGTGTCTTCTGCACGCTCACTAAATAGTTTGAAGACTATATTGAGATTTATTTTTAAATCTTCCTCACACCTGTTGCAGTTTAGTATCCTTCCCTATTTTTAGAGGTGACTTAAAAAGCAGGATATGTAATGCATGCAGCATTACTTGAAGTAAAACAATAGTAGAATGGGAGCCCTATGGTGGGTTTTTTTTTCATTACTTTCATTTATTCTTAATACCTCAGTCTCAGAGGAGGAAAATTGTGGATTTTTTTTTTTAATATTAGTTGGCAGATTCGTCTTCTGGAATAGAACTAGTGTAGTATTAAGTGCTGAATGTTGTTGCATTTAGTTGTATTCCATAAATGAGAGAGAGTTTCCAAAATGAGATTAATTCTTCCTGTCTTTGCTGGACGTCTAGGTAGACGTTAAGCTTATTGAACCTTCTGTAAAAGGAAGGGGATAATTCTGGAGATTTAATAAACATTTCATTTCTCTAGTGAAACATTTCAACTGTTCAAAGCTGTGAACTATTGCTAAGTGTTTATTGGCTTCCACATTTGTGCAAAAAGTTGCAGTACAGTATTTCTATCTCATTAGTTTCTATGGCTATGTCTAAACTATGCAGAATTTTCAAAAGAGGATCTTTCTAAAGTGTAAGTAGTCTGGATGCATTTTTTCTGGAAAAAAAACCTTTTTTGTAAAAACCACTCTTCCTTTAAAAAGGAGGTTTGTGCAGTTTTTTTCAAAAAAGGAGTTTTTTACCAAAAAACCTGCGTCCAAACTACTTTTACTTTCGAAAGATCCTCTTTCAAAAGTGTGAGCAGAAGAAGATATGCAAATTTCCGGTGGTTCAAAAATTCTACGTAGTTTAGACATAGCCATAGAAACTAATGAGATAGAAATACTGTACAGCAACTTTTTGCACAAATGTGGATATGAAAGCAAAATAAATTCTACACCCAATTCTAATTGTGTATTACATTCTTAATAGAAGGGACTAGACTAAAAGTTTTCCTGCTTATAAAGTTAGTACACTCTGTTATGTCTTATGATTTCTACAGTTCTATTGGAACACGCGAAGAATCAATCTGTTTTGTTGTTCTATGTTTCCTCAATTATTTAAAGTTTGGAGAGAAGAGCCAGTGGTGGGGTCCAGACATTTATTGACAGAGGTAGCTGCTCTGTTTATATCATACAAGACATACGGATTTTTTGCGGGGGAAGGGGAGGAGGCTAGACTATCCCTGGTTTATTGAAGCTTTAACTATACTGTGATGTGTGGTTCTAAAACAAATGAGTTAATACAGCATAGAACTAGATTAACTTTTCAGTCACCAGAAGAGGTAGACTCCCTTCTAGCCCTCTCTTCTCTGCGGGTTTATTTGGTCATTATAGAGAAATACCGCCCTTCTCATTCTCCACCTTTCAAAAAGAAAATTTTAGACTTTTAATGGATTTGGTTATTTAATATTTGGGATGTGAACAGCATTTGTACTCTTTCGTGCCTGGCATTACCCAGTTACCTATGGAAGAACTGGCACCTATGCTCTCTGAGCATAGTTTGTAGAGCTCTGCCTGCCATTTTCATATGGACTTTGGCTGCACTTTTAGCCAACGACTCTGATTTAAAGGACAGTGGTGCAGAATGTGCAAAGCCTTTTGGTTTGGTTTATATTTTGTTTACAATTTCTCAAGAATGTATCAGTGTTTGTTACAAAACTTTAAAATATGGGTGAAAACAGATGCATAAACTCAATTTCATACTTTTGGGTAAATATCAGCAGTTAATAATGAGGGATGCAAGGAAAGAAAAAACAAATAGGTAAGAGTTTTGAAAGTAAAAGCAGTTTAATACTGATTCATTTCACTAGCTGTACATATGTATATGCATGCATGTGCATGTGTGTATTTTTCCAGTACATTGCTTTACTTTAACAGACAGCCTTGCATTTACACTTAGACATAATTTGTTAACATAAGAATATCCAGTTCGTTCAGTAGATGTGTTTTAACATAATCGGTACTTTTTGTGTACTTACATGGTACACATTTGGCCTGCAAAGGCTGAATAATAGGTTTTGTAAAATTGGGGATTTTTTTTAAACTGGTAAAAACTGAAAACTAAGGGCCTTAAAAATGTGTAATTGGGTATCTGATTGTTGAATAGTAAGCTTCTCCCTTCAAAATTATGCCTAGAGCAGTGTTTCTCAATGTTTTCAAGTTCAGGACCATTAGTAAACCCCTGATGACCTGTTGCAACTTAGTGGTGCCCCCTCCAGGCTTCATGCAGGGGAAGAGTGGGGCTTGGAGCTATGATGCCGGATGTTCCAAGCAGATATGAACAGCTGGAAACATCCCCTACCAGCAACTGGGGTGGATGAGTTAAGATGTTACCCAAAAAATAGTCTCCCCTACATGGCCTGTGTCAGAGGTGGAAGGGAAGTGTCCTGGGAAGGCTGGTGATGAAATTGGGGTGGAGGGACGGAGGGGTGTAGAAGGATATGGAGGCAAAGCAGTCTTGGAGAGGGATAGTGAGCTTATATTACCCCCAAAACCATAGCCTGCATGCACTGCCCATAGGAAGCAGAAGATAAAGGGGAGAGGGGAATTTGAAGTCCTGAAGGTAAAGTAGGAAAAAAGGAGGAAGGAATTAGTTCGGGGACAGAATAGGCAGGACATACAGGTAGGGGAAGATCTTGGTCACTGGGGCCAGGATAAGGTAGTCTGACAGAGAGGAAGTCACCTGGCTTTATAAGAGGGGAACATTGGGGGGCAAACTTGGTGGGAGGGGCAGAAGCAGAAGATGGGATGTTGCACAACTTGGGGGCAGGATGCACATTGAGAGGCCAGTACTTATTGAAGAATGTGACACCAACTATTCCCTCTTGCTTCCTGTCCGTTTAGCCAGCTGGACTTGGTTCTCCACACTGGGTGTTGCATATACACCAGTGCTGAAGTGTACTGAAGTGATCAGATTTAGCCACGTCTCCCTTCTGGCAGGGCAGGGGTGGCTAATTTTTGTGAGTGACAGTGTAACCTTGCACATAGGATTGTAGCACCACTTACATTTGGCCCAGCTGGCCCCCTGTCCTTATGATAGAGGGATAGCTGGGTGAAATCTAAGTGGTGCAGTAACCCTGCATACAAGGACACAACATGGAGTAAGGAACCAAGCCCAGCCAACCTTATGACTCTTTAACATGTTCTGGCAATCCACTTTTGGGTAGCAACCTGCTGCTCGAGAAACCATATACCTAGAATCTGTAGTACCCAAGAAGCTCATTGAGTTTCAATTGAGAAGCCTAATGAGCTAGTCTTTTGCCTTGTGCAGATTGCTGACACTTACCTTTCTTTTTTTAACAGGCTGCTGATACTCTTGCTGTAAGACAAAAAAGAAGAATCTATGACATCACTAATGTTTTGGAAGGCATAGATTTAATTGAGAAAAAGTCAAAAAACAGCATCCAATGGAAGTAAGAAGTGTCAGTTCTGCATATTTTCACATTCTCGTGGGGAAAAAAAGTTGGCCTCATTCCTTTTTATTTTGTAATCAGTGGTAGTCTATGTGATTATGTCAGTGGTCTCAGTCCAATTCATAATGACCAAGTGTCTTCACTGCAGTTGGTATCTTTGTTTTCAGAAAGGCCAAGAACTGAAATATTCTGAGCTGTGAAGTGTGAGGTTTTCAGCATACTGGAGGGGCAATTTGGGAATCTAGCACTGATGTATCGTGTCTAGATTAAAATGTTCACTTTTCAGGATTTTCAATCTGTCGATTTTCATGAGCACTAGAATTTATACAGCTTTATAAAGTGCAACTTAAAAGAAATAAATCTTTGAATTTCAGGGTGAATTTGGGCAGGGATTGGAGATGTGGCTCTAATGTGTGTGGCAGAGTTCAACAGAGCAGTGCCAAGAAGCAAGCAGGCAGGCAGTGTCTTAGCCTAAGATTCAGCCTAAGAGAAAACATGTTTCATTCTCCCATCACCCCAGTGAAGAGCTAACTTTGGAGAACTGAACTGGATACTTTAAATCCCTAGTTATGTATCAGAGGGGTAGCCATGTTAGTCTGGATCTGCAAAAGCGACAAATAGTCCTGTAGCACCTTATAGGCTAATAGATATATTGGAGCATAAGCTTTCGTGGGCAAGGATCCACTTCTTCAGATGCATCTGATGAAGTGGGTCTTTGCCCACGAAAGCTTATGCTCCAATACTTCTGTTAGTCTATAAGGTGCTACAGGACTACTTGTAACTAGGGATGTAAAATCCCATTTAATCAGTTAACCGATTAAAAGTTATGTTTAGCTGGTTAACTGCTTAAACAGGAGTGGGTGATTTGGGGCTGCTCCAGCCCATGTGGACTGAAGTGGCCCCCTGCCTCCGCTGGAGCTCTTCTACTTTTCAAAGGAGAACTCTGCATGCAGCCCGGGGCCAGCGGGAAGTCCCGCTGATTCCAGGCTGCATGCAGGCGTCCAGCTTTGAAATGTACAAGAGTCCCCAGTGGAGGCTCTTGTGTACTTCAAAGCAGAAGCGCCCTCATGGAACCCAGGGTCAGTGGGGGACTCCCCAGCTGATCCTGGGCTCTGCATGACATTTCCCCAGAACCCGGGTTCAGCTGGGGACTATGTGGAAATGTCACCTGGAGCCTGGTATCAGCTGAAAAGTCTCCAGCTGACCCCAGTCTCCACCTGTTGCTGCCACTTTGAAATGCTGCCTTAGGGGGGAGGGATAGCTCAGTGGTTTGAGCATTGGCCTGCTAAACCAAGGGTTGTGAGTTCAATCCTTGTGGAGGCCATTTAGGGATTTGGGGCAAAAATTCATCAGGGCTGGTACTTGGTCCTGCTGTGTAGGCAGGGGACTGGACTCAATGACCTTTCAAGGTCCCTTCCAGTTCTAGGAGATAGGCAATCTCAATTTTTTTTTTTTTTTTTTTTAGTGTTGCAAAGTGGCACAACTAACCCTGGGCTCAGCTATGCAGCGCTGCAGCTTTGAAACACTGAGGCAGCATTTCAGAGGGGCAGTTAGCTTAGATACAGCTTATCCGGGGATCAGTTGTGCGGCTCTGCCCCTTTGAAGATGTGCAGCGCTGCCGCTTTGAAGTATCCCATCTCTCCCCCACCCTTTTGCTGCCTCTATATAATAAAGGCAGCAAGGGCAAGGGAATTGACTAGTCAGCTAGTCGACTGACTGTCTGATAAGCATTTGCTTGTCGGATAGTCAACTAGTCCTTAACATCCGTAATCTGCTCTGAGTTGTGGGTTAACCCAATAAGAGTAGTGCTTATCGATCAGTAACTGTTTAATCATTCACATCCTTATACACAACCTAGCCCTAACACAGAAAACACCATGTGCCTTGAAAATGGAAAACAGGGACAGAGGAAGCCTAACATTGACCCCACATTTAATACAATTTTCAGAATTTTCTACTAAAGAAAGCAGGGATTATACTACTTCTTAGTATTTAATATAATTCATATGTTTTTTTTAAAGCAAGACTCGTGCTTCAGACTATAATGTATTTTACATGATTATTGCACATATTATGATTGCATAAAATATTGTACGTTTTTTAAAGAGGTGTAGGTGCAGGCTGCAATACAAAAGAAGTCATAGACAGACTGAGGTATCTTGAAGCAGAAATTGAAGATTTGGAATTAAAAGAAAAAGAGCTGGATCAGCAAAAATTGTGGCTGCAGCAAAGCATCAAAAATGTTATGGATGACACCACGAACAACCAATATCCTTTGTGACATACATTGTGTGCATTTGTGAAATAGAATTAAAGCACCAGGCATACATTAAAAGCACCAGTCATACATGTAATATGACCTGCTCTAGAAACAAGGACAAGAAACTTGAATTGGGTGACCAAGGGGTTTTACTAACTCTAGAAGAAATGGTACTGGTCTCAGGCATTTTCTGTTACAATGTGATTTTAATTTTCTTTTTCACTGTTGGTGAAATTAGCTTGCAGTGCTATGAGACAACAGCACCATTCATTAGGCTGTGGAATACATGGTGACAGTTAACGGAGAAGAAACTTTGCTTGTGACATTTTAAAACCATGGTAGACAAAGTACTGAAAGATATTTTTTTTAAAAATCTGGTATTGGTAGAAAGAGGCATTGAATGGTCTAATACGGTGGTTTTCAACTGTGATCCATGGATCCTTGAGGAGTCTGCACTCTATGCCTAAGATTTCCAAAGGGATCCGTTTGAAAATGTTTACAGGTCTGCAAATGAAAAAAGGTTGAAATCCACTGGTTTAATAGATCATTGCAAGTTTTAATCTCTGTGACCTTTATCAGTGGTAATCTGGAAATAAACCATGAGAAATGTACACAGGGGTAATATTTAACACAGAAAATCCAAACATTTAGCATTAACAGTTTAGTAGCACCTTAAAGACTAACAAAACATGTAGATGGTATCATGAGCTTTCATGGGCACAACCCCTCTGAAGCTTTTGAGCATTAACGGTGAAATTCATTGCGTTTGTGGATTTAAATTAGATTTAGGATACTCCAGGATACTCTTCTCTGGTTTGCATTTCTTTAGATGTTCATAGGATAGGTTATCTAAATCTTTTGAACTGGAACTGAAATTATCTTCTCTGTAAACAGGTAACGAGTATATTGTTTAAAGTGTTTGCTCATTACTTTGTTAATCATGTGTCTAGCATTCTTACAGGATACTGAACAAAATAGGTTATTAGAGAATTTGGGAAGGGGATCATGCAGTCTTGTCTATAAGAAATTCTGAAGCACTTAACACTGTATTCTGGTGTTCAACAGAAACTGCTATAATCAGATCAGTGATTTTTATCAAGCCAGGGCCTGCTTAAATACACAGATTAGAAGAGCTGTAGTCTGTCAGATTAATGAAGTGAATCCGGTTCAGTACAGATAACATAACAGATAAGGCTTCTAATCAGCAGAGCAATTAAATATGTATTTAAGTGCTATGATGAATTAAGGCCCAAATGAGCTGTGAAATTTTAAATTTTCCATTGAATGAAAATAAATTACTCTACATGTGCAAAAATTCCATTTTAAAATGAATTATTAATTGTGAAGGCACAGGTTGAGTCGTTTCGCAAAGACCTGAATGGAGTCTGTTTGCTGAGACTGCTGGTAACGGAGTGGGATTGAGCACACCAAACCACCTGTGGAGGTGTGGAGGCAGGAAAAAGGGAATAAGGGAATTTGCGTGCAGCCACCTTGGTCTTGTTAGCAAGAGAGCAAGAGTAAGGCTAATTCTGACTCTTCACAACGTGAGAGCGGTAATAAGATGCTGCCTTTGCCTCTTACCTCCATACAGAGATAAGGATAGAATGCTGACTCTGGCAGGGACCTTGAGATAAGGAGCATCAGGGTGGAACTAAAATAACTGTTAGCCATTGGTGTTTGTAATGGGAAGGAGACTAATTGTTATTATCAGGGCTCAACAATTAAGGCAATCTACTCGCCCATGGCGAGTAGATTTTAGCTCGGCACGGCCACGCGGTGCTGTCTGCGCATGTGCAGCGTGCGGTTCCGTGCGGCTGGCAGGCAGGGCTCGCTGAGCCCTGGTTATTATATCTAATGGACAGTATATAAACTGCTTCATAATTGGTTGTATTAGAAGATCTGCCGCCACCACCCGCCTCCCCCTCGTCTGAATCAGTTTTCCCCTCGCTGCAGCTTGTAATAAAACTGCCTCTGGCTACTTGTTGCTTACAAACGCAGAGTGAGGACAATGTTTTCTTCCACAGTGGTTTAATAGTCAATATTGTTAACAAAATAATTTAGTAATTGGAATGCAATTAAACATCTAAAGCAATGTAGGGCTATTTTATTCTTGTGTGATACTGCAAACTGAATAATAAATAAACGCAAATAATGTACGCAAAATAAACCAAAAAAAATTCCAAACCCGAAACAAAAAACTTGAGTGGTTGGCCTCTACTTCTAAACACTACCATAAAGCGACTTTCACAAACCAACTTTTACATTTGAAAAAGGGTAGATTTGAAAGGGATACTATGGTGATTAGTTATAAAATAGTTGAAATATTGACTAGTATAAGAAATTTCAAAATACAGGTTAAACCTCTAAAATCAGGGACTCTCTGGTCCTGCAACATCTGTGGTCTGGCAGAACCACAGATATTGCTGGTCCAGAGATCCCCGGCTGGCCAGGTTCCGGGGTTGGGCTGGTGGCAGGGAGCACAGCTCTGGCCAGGCTAAAGGCAGCAGTGTCGGTGCCCAAGAGCACAGTTCCAGCCAGGTGGGAACAGCAGGGAGCACAGCCTCATCCAGGTCAAAGGCAGTGGGGCCAGAGCAGCTGTCAGGGGCAGGGAGCACAGCCCCTGCCAGGCCAGAGGCAGTAGGGTATGGGTGGTGGCCCCCGGTGGTGAGGAACACAGCCATAGCTCCAGGTGAGGCTACAGCCTCTGCTGGGCCTGCAGCAGGGAGCAGGCACAAGAAGGGAGTCTTGACCTTCCCTGGTCCGCAAACTCTGTGGTTTGGGATCATTCAGGTCCTGATGGTGTCAGGTGGTCCCACCAGTAGTTTATAAAAATATATGGCACTGTCTCTGCCTCTCTCTCTCTTTCTTTCTCTCTCTCTCTGTGAATGGTCTCGCAGTGAAGTCTAGTCCTAAAAGACTGCCATGTGGAGTACTCAGTTTGAAATCATTATTACTGGTATGTGACGGGGTAAAAGGATTAAATCCAAAATTTTATTTTTCAGGAAGAATTTGACTAGGACCCATTTGAAAGGGAAAGCAAGTAGTTTCCAGGATGTTGTAAGTGTATGGGGATATGCAGGGCTCGACAAATCAGTGTATCTCGCCACAGGCAAGTAGATTTCAGCCAGTCGCCCCATTCACCGGCGGCGCACACATGCGCAGTGCGGGTCTGGTTCATGCGCGGTGTGGGGCTGGCGAGTGGATTTTGCCACGGTTTGTCAAGCCCTGGGGATATGGAAGTACATACATATATTTAAAACAGAACTTGCTTTGTACTTTTGGAAGCTCTACTATGCCCTTCCAATGAGATATTTCCAGAGTGCTCTGTCCTGTCTCTCAATATCAGCAGGTGACTATTTGGTGGTTAGTTTTCAGTGGCTTACATTTATTACAAAATAACTTTTATGTTAATGGTGGCAGAGTTAACAACTATCATCTGACAGCACCACATTGCATCAGAAAAAAATCATTAAACCTGTATTATGAGAAATTCCCATAGACTGTGAATTAAATCTAGGAAATTAAATCCAGGAGATAAACACAGGATGTTGTGGGTTTTTTCCAAAACTGCTTGCCTCACCTATTCTAAAATGCATCTGGTTCAGAGGTGGACAAAAGGGCCTCTATGGGCCGAATCCAGCCCACGGCAGTTCTGCCTCTCCCCCACCCCAGGCCAATCAGGGCATAGGGACGGAAGCATGTAGCGCTTGGTCAATCCTGGCGGTTGACTCTAAGCTCCACGTGCCAGAAGGCAGGGAGTGAGAGACTTTGTGCACTCCCCCTAGGCTAATCAGAGCTTGGGGGTGGGAGGAGTGTGCAAAGTCTTCTCCCCCACTGCAAGGGGCTCAACTGGTGGTTGACTCTAAGCGTCGCTCTCTCTTGCAGGGCGGGGGCACGGAGCAAGAGATTTCCCATGCTTATCCTCCCCCAGGTCCTGATTGACCTGGGGACTGGGATGGGACATGAGCAAAGTCTCCTCCCACTGCCAGGGGTGTGGGCACATACAGGGAGGTTTGCAGACCAATCAGGGTCTGTCGGTGGGGAAGCATGGAAGTGTCCTGGCCCTGCCCTGTCTCTTCTGCCCCCAGTCAAAAATGATTGCCCACCCCTGATCTGGTTCCTTGATGAGTGTATTGTCACTGGCAGAATTCATCCTGGGGAATCCTATGGAGAAAGTGCTGCTGATCCCTGATGGCTTTGAACATTCTGTATCATAGTGATACATTAACCATACTTATCAGTAAAAAGGATATTCTAGTATTCTGTGAGAAATACATTTAAGTAACATTTTGGAAATGTTCTAATGATAGTCTGAGACCCAGGTTAAGCTGGAAAGGCTTTGCTGGACTAGTTATACTGGAATGCTATATTAGCAATGCATTTATAATGTGGACATAGATAATATTGGCAACATTCTGCATTTTATATCATTTCAGCAACCTTATGGGCTTTGGGCTGTTGCCACCATTATGTCAGACATAGATCTCACACTTGACCAGCATTAACTATAACAGTAAAAAAAATTAAAATGTAGACCTGGCTTAAACAACACATAGTAGGAACACCAATTTTTCTTGTAAAGTACACTAAGTATCAATTTCATATTGCTTAGGCAAAAATGTCAGCTTGTTACTTGAACATTTTCTTGACATAAATCACATTTTCATACGTCACTCATGAAGACATCTGTAATTGCTTCAATGGTAAGTTTTTGTTAGACTGTATTTTTGTAAGATATTTGAAGCAGGTGGTTTAATTGAGGAAGACCAAGCCATAGTGGAGAAGCTAAATGAAGTCTTTTCATTGATTATCACTGCAAAGGTTGTGAGGGAGATTTTAATACCTGAACCATTCTTTTTAGGTGGCAGATCTGAGGTGTCAGTAGAGATGGTTTTGGAACAGTGATTCATTAAGCAGTTATAAGTCATGAGGCCCAGATGATATTGACTCGAGTTCTTCTTCCAGTGCTTTTTCATATCAGTTCCAATCAAGTGTGCACGTGTCACATGCATGAGCATTGGAAACTTTTTTTTCTCTTAGCAGTTCATGTAGGGTCGGCTGTAGAGACCCTTAGAGTAGCGCCATTATTTCAGTCCTTATATACCACTGTCGACCCGATCCCTCCACTGGTTGCTTCTTGCCAGTTACTCCAACAGTGGGGAAGGAGGGTTGGTATTGGAATGGATGTGAATAACACATCTCAAAGAACACCAGTCATGAGAAGAAAGGTACAGGTTGAACCTCTCTATTCCACAACACTCTGGTCCAGAAACATCCGTGGTCTGGAATGATTGTAGTTAGCTGAATGTCCACTTTTCATGGGTGTGGTCAAGTTTCCTCTGGTCTCATAAAGTTTGTTTACAGCCATCAGTCCTAGTTCTCAGTGTTCTGTGCTGTTATTTACCTCTAATTTCCCTATGTTCTCTAACAGCCTAGTAAGCAGAGGAAGTGTTGGTAATCAGGGCTCAACAAAGAATTCATTTGCGGCGTGCACATGCACAGTACGGGGCTGGCGAGTGGTTTTCGCCGCCGTTCGTCAAACCCTGTTGGTAATGGTGCTTGACCATAGTCTCCTCCTGTGGTCCAGAAAATTATCTGGTTCAGAATTGGTCAGGTCCCGAGAGTGCCGGACTAGAGCAGTTCAGCCTGTAACTGTCTTTTCTTCTTCGAGTGCTTGTTCATGTTGATTCCAATCAGGTGACTCCAAGCTGCTATACCATGGAGCTGGGATCAGAGTTAGGAATCACTGATTGGAACACTGCGCTACCAACAGTTGCATCAGCCCTTGAGAACTTACCAGTAGCATAGTGTAAACGTGTATTGATGACCACCTTGCTGCCCTGCATATATCTTGAATGGGAATGTGCGCCAGAAATGCAATGGAGGAAGCATGGGCCCTAATGGAGTGTCCTGTCACCAAAAAATGGCATAATTCCTGTTAAGTCATAACGTGTGTGTGTGGGGGGGGGAGGGGGGGCTGAGACTAGGTCAGACTAGGTCACCTTTCATCTTGTACAGATGGCTCTTGGTCTTTCCATGGATTCCTCATATTACACGAAGCTTGGGGATAGTGAAAAACTGGAACCTCTTGCCCTCCCTTCCCCTCCCCCCCCCCCCCAAGGATGCAGGGGACTCGGCAAAGATTTCTAGTAGAGATTTCCCCTTCAGGTTCTCCTCGTTTTTCAACAAGAGGGGGCCACTGCAGTCTGAAGTTGAGAAAACAACACTAAGTAACAAAATGCCTTTTTATTTTAACTCTTCTAAGAGTTTTGCCTAAGGAAGAACTTCAAGATAATGTTTATCATCATATACTTATATCCTATGGAGTGAACCCTTCCCCCCACAAGAGTTCAAAAATATAGAAACACTTAGCACTTCTCTGTCACTGTATAGCTGCAGTACTTTACATACCATCTGTCTCATAATACCCTGTGAGAGAAAGAAGCACTATCTTAATTGTATAGATGGGGAAACGGGGGTACAGAAAAGTGAAGTGACTTCCCTGGGTATTACAAACAGTAAGCTACAAAAAAACCAGTGATGTCTAAATTCACTATGAAAAGCAACCACACCCACATTGTTACTGCTTCAGAGGCTGGAGTTCTGGGGGTGCATAAGCTAAGACCTTGGATACAGTGGTTATGAATACATAGATAGAAATGTTTTCTTCAAGCTTTGCTGTCATTCCTGTTTATTCCTGAAGCACATCAGAATGTGCAGGGTTTGTATCAAGCTAATGCTGAAGTGGCATTAGAGAAGAACTGTATTCCATTTGACTACATGCAATCCAACAATGTGTAAAATTATATATGATTAACATTTTCTTAAATTACTACTTCACTAGGAGACACACTTCTAGCAATTCAAGCACCCTGTGGTACTCAATTAGAAGTACCTATACCTGAAATGGTATGTACAAACTGTTTGTTTATATATGTGTCATGAGGGAGGGTAAAGGATGTATGTGTTGCAGCTAGCAAAGTTTGTGTCTTCGTGTACAAGGAAAAAATTACGATTGACTTAATTGGATGGGGACTGTTTGGATTGGGTAAACAGCATTTTTGCACATCTACACAGACTAAACGTGATTGGGCCTTTCAGTGAAACTAAGATTCACTGGGTTTTCCCCTTCCAGCTTCTCTTCCATTCACAGAAGCCCAATAGCTGTTGTTTCCTCTTGGGAAAAAGCAATGATGTTTCTTTCAGAATCTGTCAATGCTGGTCTTTTAGTGACAAGCTCCTCTCTTCCCAACCCTGGCTGGGTCAAGGAATTTGAAGCCCAAATCAGATTTCCATAGAACAACAAAGGAAGCTATAGGAAAAATAGTTTACATATTCATTAGCCCATTTGTTTATAAGTCGACCCACAAGATGGATAGGTAAAAATGGGAAAACCCTATCTCTCTTTCATAAGCCGACCCTATATTTCAGGGATTGGAAAACTTCAGTTCCTGGTCCATTGGTGTAAGTCTCTGCCATGCTGGGATGTTTTGTTCACCTGTAGCGTCCGCAGGCATGAAGCCCTGCAGCTTCCGTTCAATGGCACAGTGAGAAGGGCTGGCCGGCGTACTAAATTCTAAAAGACGTGCAATATGGACAAAACACTAAGAACTGGTGTTGGTGAAAAAAGAGCTTTAATTAAAACCACTAGCCATGAAAAAAATCCATTTTACAGTAGTTTCATCATGTTTGGCCAATGGATCAAAGTTCCCTCCTGTTGTTGTTAAAAGAAAAACCTTGCCTAAAATCATGACATTTGCTGCTGATGTCATCCTATGTGCACATGGAAAGGGATGGATGAATGAAAGTGGGACTATGGGACAGCTGGAAAAAGTGTGGAGTAAGAGACCGTGAGCACTTCAGGAAATCTGCTATGCTCATTTGGGACGTGTTCAGGGCACACAAGACGGATGAGGTAAAATGTGGCCAAAGTAATGAAAACCACTTTAGCTGTAGAACCTGGAGGCTTAACTTCTGTTATACAACCAGATGATTTCTTCCTAAACAAACTATTTGAAGACCGGCTATGCAAAATGTAGTCTGACTGCATGTATTCAGGCATGGCGAAGTTGGCAAAAGGCAGGAATCTTATGAAACCCAAAATTAATCTGGTTGTCCATTGGGTCATGGATGTATGAGAGTCCCTTGCCTTGAAAATGACAGAAACATCATTTAGGAAATGATGCATCAGCAATATGTTTGATGGGTCAGAAAATGGCACTATATTTGCTGATGGCACAACAAAGGCTGATGTGGAATCTGTGTCTGAAGATGACACTGCTGACTTATACAATAACAATGCAGCAGCGGCTATAACTGAAGCAAAGTTAATGCACTGGTTGGTGAACTGAAGACTGATTCGGACTTGAAAGGATTTTTTAAGATTTTTTTTTAAAAAACATGAGTATATTAGAATTATATGAGACTTTAAAATCAGTAAATAGATATTTCAAACATTAACTGCAGTTTTGAAGGTATGTGAATACGTACTCTGTTAATATTATAACAGGATTTTTTTGTTAGATTACATTAAATTAGATTACGCCTCAGCTTCCTGTTCTTGTAGTTCGCCATTCCTAGCCAATCGGAGCTGTGGGAAGTGGTGCAAGCTAAGGGACATGCTGGCCACCACTTCCTGCTGCTTCAGTTGGCAATACAAGCAAAGGGGCTGTGTGTCTGCAGATGTTCCAGGCAGGGGCAACCCTAGACTAGCTGGCAGCAACTGGCACCCTGGGCGAACCATTCAATTGGCGTCCCCACCTCCAAGCCCCTCAATATTGCACCACCATTTGGCACCCCATTTAACTTGGTGCCCTAGGCGACCTCCTAGTTCGCCTGATGGATGGGCCGCCCCTGACTCTAGGTAAACAAAATGTCCTGATGTGCGTGTTGCTTACCCTGATGGACCAGGAGCCAAAGTGTGCTGATCCCAGATCCACAATGACAACATAGATCTGTTGATAAGCCAGCCCTTGCTCTTTGATCCTTCACGTTCTTACCAAAAACATTTGGCTTATATGGTGAGTATATATGGTATGTCATTGAGAGAAACCATATAGTGTAACAGAACTTTAGCCAGGAAAGGTGGATAGCAAAGATATACTATTTCGTTTCTTGTTTTTACCTTCTGCCATCTTCAATTTCTGTGCCAGTTTTTCATGCTGGCTACATAAATGGAAAAGATGGCAAATAATTTTGTGGAGTTGCAAGAGACTAGTGAGTCCATTTGATTTTCCATATTTTAATTTGAACAAGGAATGAGTAAAAGCACAGTAAATAAACAATGTGGTTATAATAAAAAACCACAATGTGAACTGCAGTGCTAATCTATGGAGACTGTCCCTTGTACTGGGGAACACAGATTTCTTATACAGGCAGTCCCCGCGTTACATGGATCCGACTTACATCGGATCCCTACTTACAAACGGGGTGAGGCAACCTCACACTAGCTGCTTCCCCCCAGCAGACCAGGGAGACGCGAAACTAGCGCCCCCCTCTCCAGCAGACCAGGGAGACGCGGAGCGGCTTTTCTCAGCAGACACCTCAGCTTGAGAATAAAGGACTGAGGGAAGTGAGGTGTGGGAGAATAAAACTGAGCTCTGGAGAAATGTCTGGCTAGAGTTTCCCCTACAATATGTACCAGTTCCGACTTACATACAAATTCAACTTAAGAACAAACCTACAGTCCCTATCTTGTACATAACCCGGGGACTGCCTGTATCTGCCAAATAAAAAGCATTGTTGGGTTTCTTCCCCCTCCCTGAATTTTCTTCTAAAATGGTTTGAGGTTAGTTTTATGAAACACACTTCATTTTAACTTCAAACTGGACATTTCCTTACTCCTTCTCGCTTGTTCCCAAAATAGAAGGATAATGACTTAATCTCATGAAATAACAAATGGTAGCAGCCCTGCACATACTACATTGCATCACAAGAATTAGCTCTTTAACATGTTCACTATTCTGCAGGAAAAATATCTCCATTAACATTAATTGTCCCGTATTCACTGAATCAAGGGGGAAAGGATTTGGCTGTGGTGAGACAATTAGTTCCAATTAAGTCAGTTTTGCAGATGAGAAAATATCATAAAGAGGCTACTGTGTGTTCCTGTGGTCAGTTTTCAGTGAGAACCCTGCTATGATTTGCAGCAAAGCTTGAATTCAATTACAGGACCATTGCACAGAACTCTGTGTTTGAGTGCCATGTGACAGTTGTTGCCTGTGAGAATATAGAAGTGATGTAATCTTATTGTTTAAGGGTGTTTTGTAGTGGTTTTAAATTAGTTTTTTTTCTATCAGGTATGTGATCATTAATTTTGTATAAAACTCTCTGAGCATGGTCTTATGACTAGAAAATTGTATGTCACCTTGAGAATTTTATTTTTAAATAGAAGTATTGTACTATGCAAATATACGTTTCCATTACGTTTCAAAGTCAGTCACTGCCTGCATATGTTTTGGCTTAATTGTCAATCACAAGAAATTCTGTTGCTTACCTCTGTCTCCTTTTAAGGGACAAAATGGACAAAAGAAATACCAGATCAGTCTAAAGAGTAGTTCAGGACCCATCCAGGTGCTGCTTATTAATAAAGAATCAAGTTCCTCCACACCTGTGGTATTTCCAGTTCCTCCACCTGATGACATTGCACAGCCCCCATCTCAACTTGCCACACCAGTGACTCCCCCCAAACCTACTGCAACTACTGAGAATACATCAGAGCAGCACAGCGTTAATGAGGGGCAGCACTTACCACGTACTACAGATACACCATCAGGTGGGTCCCGTTTGTTCTCACCCACCCCCAAAAAAGAGATCTATTTAGAGAAAACAGGGTAGAAAAGGGGAATCAAATGTTGGCATAATTTAGCAGCTGCCAGCCTGAGATCTGACCACAATGGGTTTCCTATCAGCTGGCTGGAAATTGCAGGGAGAGGTCACTAGCCTCTTCCTGTTCTGTTCAGATTTATGTTGAAAAGGATTGTTCCACTTGCAGTTTATCATCTTGTACTGGAAACACTTCAGAAGTGATTTAGGAAGCAGCCTTCAGCAGGGTTCTAGGCTGATTCTCAAGGTAATTGCTGCCTCTACTACAGACATGGTGAGCCAAATTTCTGAAGGCCCTTAAGAAACAGTGCCTGGTTCTTGAGAGGAGACAGCTCATCTCACATACTGGCCATGTTTTACCAATAAAACTCAGCCATATTCAGGTGTCACTGCATATAGCTTACCATAACAGACTTTGTAATATGCACTTTCCTGCCTTTGTAGACAACAGTGCACAGGAGAACACTACTCCAGAAACCCCTTATTCAAATCTTCCAGACTCCTTGCTATATACAACCCTTGCAACAGATACAACACAGACTACTGTTAACTCAAATGACTATCAGGCCTTGCTACCCTTGGATGTTAATTGTATTCTCAAGCCGAACTCATTAGATATGGCAAAGATGGACGAGCCCACAGGTAGGCAGACTCTCTTTGATTTATTCCTTCCCGACAAAGCTAGCAGCAGATTTCCCAGGGAAAAAAGAGACCAGCAGTTTCTTAGAATGAATTGCAGCCTTTGCCTTCTCCCTCCTGCCTCTCTTTACCATTTTGGCTGTGGTTGCTGTCTGGTTTCCAGTAAAGTACATCCCTCACAAAGATGTTGTCCTTCACATTGCCTTCTGGGTGTGGTACACTGCTCCACCTAGTAGCACTTAGACCACTTAGAGAGCAAGAATGAGTGTGCTCTACAGCCTTAGCCGAGAGCCAGCTGGCTTTTAGCTCAAGCAGTAGAGGCTCATGCACTGAGTTTCAGAGGTCCCAGGTTTGGTTGCTTGTCAGCGTTACACTTACATTCCCTTTTATAGTTATAAGTATTTTTGCAATCTAAGACTAGGACCAGAAACTGTCCAGGCGGAAAAGGAGGTTGATTTATTTTTAACCCAGTAGGATGCTGGCTTGGCTGACTATATCTACAGCTCTTGCAAACTTTAAAGTTCCAAATGTGGTAGCCTAACAGCTAACCTGCTCCATTTCAATAGCTGTTTAATGCATGGAATCCAGGCTGACTTTCATTAATATGTGCTTTTGCGTTTAACAGGAACTATTAGTAGTGATATCATTGACGAACTGATGTCTTCAGATGGTAAGCATGCAGCAGCCCTATTTTTTTTTAATAAGCAGTTAAATTTTAAGAATGTGATTCATTCATAGGAACATAGGAGATCCCTTCCAGTCCTGACTCAGTAAATTTAGTTCTCTGCTATTTCAAGCAAATGTCATTCATATCTGAACTCCTCACTTCCCTAGATGTTTGTTCAAATCTGATCTTAAAATTAATTACAAATATCTGATCTTAAAACAGTTGTCACATAGGCATAAGCTTTCTCATTTCCCTGGGGGTGCTAGACCCCCACTCCATGCCAGACCCAGGCCTCACTCTTCCCCCCCCTTCCTCCAAGGCTTCCCCCCACTCCCTGTCTTCCCCTCCCCTGTTTGCACCCTGCCCTTGCCCTGTCTCCTCTTCCTAGTGCAGGGGTGGGCACTAATTTTTGGCCAGGAGCCACTTCAAAAGAAGCAGGGCCTAAAACAGAAGGGACGGGGCCAGGATGCTTCTGGGTTTCCCCACCCACCGACCATGATTGGTCTGGGGGTGGGGAGCCCCTTTGTTCCCCCCTTCCCACTAAGCACCCATGCCCCTGGCAGGGCGGGAAGAGGCTTCACACAGTCCCCCACCCCCAGGCCAGTTTAGGACCTGGGGGCGAGGGAGTGGCAGGGTCTCCACGGGCTGGATCAAACCGCTTAGCGGGCCAGATTTGGCCCACAGAGGCCCTTTTGCCCACCCCTGCCCTAGTACCACCTGTATGCTTCTGAACAGCTAATCTGCAGCCAGCTGAAGGATCTGGGAGCTGATTGGCGGGGCCGTGGCAGGAGGTACTGGGTGAGGGAGCAGATTGGCAGGGCTGCCTGTCAGTGCAGAGCACTCAGGTTATTTTTTTTTTCATGGGTGCTCCAGCCTGAAGCACCCAAGCAGTGGGTACCTATGACCTGCCAGCACCATTTTAAGCATGACCTATTTCACTCCCGCCTTTTTCCTGCTGCAACTCTCCCTTTTTACTTTCCATGTTGGCTGCCACTGTCAAGATAATTCTGCAAACACACATGAGTAATGTTATACATGCATGAAGTGATGCTAGTCTGTTAATTTTTTGCAGGCTCAGGGCCAAATTTAGTATCTGGTTGAGAGAGAAAGAAAGAATGACTGAGTCAGGGACAAGCCTGCCCTGCTGCAGGCTTCCCCTCTGAATTTGGGCAAGTCACCTAGTCTTTTCATGCCTTAATTTCCAGTCTGTAAAAGGGGATAACAACATGACCCTGCCTCACAAGACAAATACATATGAAGACTGGGAGGGACAACTACTAGACTAGCGGATGCTATATCATACAATAGATCCTCTGCTAGGTAGCAATCACAAAGGCTGCTTAAGTATTGCTTTGCTGTAGCAGAGAAGACCAACCTCTGTTATACTGCACTGGCATTGCTGCAGGTAAGATGGTAAAGGAAATTCATTTAAAGCATAGTAAGTAATTTAAATATATAGGCACTATTTATTTTAAATCTTACTTTGTAGTTGCACAAGCCTCCCCAATGTAAAGTCCAGTGCTTGCAGACCGCTAGTGCCAAAACAAAGCAAATTGTAATATTTTGGACTACTGAAACTGGGCATCAATATTTATTTAGCCTCTGCTAGAAATGATCTGAAATGTACGGAATGTTGCAAGGCAAAATTTCAATTGTAATAACTTCTGTGATTCTATGATTAACAGTACTGTTCTTGTTTTACAGTTTTTCCTCTCTTACGACTCTCTCCTACTCCTGGAGATGACTACAACTTTAACCTGGATGATAGTGAAGGAGTCTGTGATCTTTTTGATGTGCAGATACTAAATTATTAGATTCTGCAGAAACCAGGCTGTCATATCTACCTCTAACTTTATAACATTCTAGACTTCTTCATAATCTAAGTATTTTAAATAATGAATGTATAACCTCTTAGTTCACTGACTCTGGGAGTGTATTTCCTTTTGCTTCCTTAACTACTTCACAAAACACCACAAATTCCATACCAGAAGAAAAGGGGCTTTTATCAGAATATTCTCTGATATTCTTTCACAAGTTACATTAATGTAACTCAGAGTTCAGATCCTAAACTACCCCACAATTTTTCCTTTAGAAGGAAAGTGAAAAATGTTTTGTAGCCTTCTGATCAGTTACAACCTCCTCTCCCCACCCCACCTTCTCACTTAGTTTTCTTTCTGAAGCTTTACTGCCAAGCAGATTTCTGTATGTTTTGTAACCTTTCACTCCAATTTTTTTAAAGCTTTCACTGCCAAATTGTGAAGTGAAGGGCATTAAATGGGTTTTGTTAAATTGTTTCAGTGAACCAATTTTGTGAAGTGCCTTCTGTTTTAGCACTTTAAGTTTCTCACATTTGACTTCTGACATTCCACTTTCCTAAGTTATAGGAAAGATCTGTTTGTAGTTCATATTAAAAGAGTGCCAATGCTTGTATATTAACAAGATTTTTTAATAAAACTGTACAAACAGAATATTCAATGTGCCATCCACTGATTTTTTCCAGTAAGTTTTGCTTTTGGAATTCATAGATATTTCATTATGCTTTACAACTGAGATAATAAACTTGCAGCTGCATCCACGTTCACTGGTTCAACCTCCAGGTGTGTAGAAACCTGAAAATAATTTTAAAAAATTACAAAGAAGGAAGCTGAGATGGTATAAAAAGATGCGTTGAGGGAGGATATAAAGCTTACAAATACTTGCTGTCTGTTCAATTGATTTGCTTGGTATATTGAAGTGCAAGACATCCTCTATTTCTTATAACTAATTCACTTTGGGCAGACCTACACTGGAGGGCAAAAGTCCAATTAAGATGAACAACTTCAGCTACATCAATTGCGTAGCTGACATCAAAATAGTGCTAAAAGCTGAATTAGGCTATCTATACAGCAGGAAGTAGAAGGAAGAACACTCTTCCTTCTAATTCCGTTACCCCTTGTGAAATGAGGATTTCAGGAGTTGGAGTAAGAAGTCCTCCATCTCAAAATTATTTCAAAATAACAGCTTGCTGTGTAGACAAGCACTTTATTTCAAAATAACATCAGTTATTCCAAAATAACGCTGTGGTGTACATGTACCCTCAATGGGAATGTGATTTGCCGAACTAGATGTACTAGTGGTCAATACTTCATGCTTTAGAGCAGTGTTTCCTAATTGGTGCTCCGTGGAACCCCATGGTTCCGCAGAGTGAAAGTAAGGGTTCCACGAGAATGCGGCATTGCCCCACCCCCTCTTAAAAAGACAAGAGTATTTTGCAGGTTTTTTTGCTCAACCAAGTCTGAGAACCCTAGGGGTTCCTTGAAATTATTTTAAGCTGAAAAGGGTTCCGTGGCCAAATAAAATCAGGAAACACTGCTTTAGAGGAACCAAAAATCTGTGTCCATAATATAAATGGCTAAAATGGAGATAGGCTTGAAAGCTCTAGTCAACAAAATCTAAAATTGTAAAGGAAGTAATTACTGTACATAGACTAATATGCTATCTTATTTCACAGAAATCAATAGAATTATTACTGGGTCCCTCCTAGTGCTCCAGAAAGAGAGAAATTGTTTCAAAATGTTATATTTTGATGAGGAAGTTGTAATTGGAGCAGAAGTGGGGAGGCTGATGTTTTTACAAAGAGAATATTGATGTGGTTATCAAATGGTTCAGCCAAGAGATCCAGGATGTCTTGCAAAAACAACTACCTTCATTTTCTATGCCTATTTGTGTTAAGGGTCCACTCGATGAATCAAGGTCTCCAGTTTAAAAATTAATAAAATAGATTTCTAAGCTCTCCAATAAAAAAATCAACCAAAACATCCAGATCTTAAATGAAAAATTCATTCTGGCAACAACCTAGAGATGCTCAATCATCTCTTCTGTTCTGATTAGAGGAAGTATGCTCCCTCAGAACTGTTAAGGTTGCATGCAGACTTGAGATCCCTCTGAATGAAGGAGTCATGGAAGGTTTTTTTTCCAGTAAAGAGCTAAAAACTTACTAAAATTACACACTAAATTTGGAATTTTTCTAACCTGAGATTGCAGCCACCCTCACAACCAAAGATGTATTAAATAGGACCCATATAATTATTACCCGATGCCTTTCTTCCGGTTTTGATGAAATGCTTTTTGATAGTTGTTTGACTTCTTTCTGTACTTCAGTAAATGCTTTATTTATCATTCTAACTTTTTCATCATTCACAATGTTTATCTTTAGAGGAGAAAAAATGCACAAGTTAGTCAAATGCAGTAAGATATTTTAATAAGACTTATTCATAGCTTAAATATATATACAGGCCGTCCTTGCTATAAGTCCAAGATAACTTAAAAGCGGGGAATTTTTCCTGAGGTTGATTTCCATTTGTGCAAATTGATTTTTGGGGGTGGGGGAAGGGGTTGTTCAACTTAAGAGTGAGGAATGGGAGGACTATAATTTTACAGGCTGAACCTCCCAAATCTTGGATTCTCTGGTCTGACAGAGCCATGCGTGGGAAGCCAGAAGCAGCTGGAAGAATGCAAGACTGGGGAGCCCTGGCTGGGCCAGCAGTGACTGGGCCAGGAGGCAGGTGCAGAGCCCCAGCCAGGCTAGGGAAACCCTGATGTCAGCAGGGTTTGCAGGGGGAGCCCTGCCCTGGGAACCCGACATCTGGGTCAGGCATCCACTGGGGAGTCCCTTCCCCAACTGAGGAACCCCCTGTAGCAATGGGCCAGGCAGCAGCTGGGCGATCTAAGGAACCCTGGGGAATGCCTGGTGGAAGCAGGACTGGCTCTGGCAGTTGGCCAGCGGCAAGTGGGTGGCTCCAGATGGGGAACTCCTGGCAGCAGCAGGACCAGGCAGCTGAGGAGCCCCAGACGGAGAACCTGGGCAATCCTAGTGGCAGCATGGCTGGAGGGCCCCAGCAAGGGAACCTCTGGCAGGGCCCAGTGGCTGCAAGGGAGCCTTGGCCGGGGAGCCCCAGGGATTACCCAGAGACAGCAGAGCTGGCAGTGGCCAGACAGTCCTAGCCAGTATCCCCAGGAACTTTTGCAGCAGAGTGGGCAGCAGCGTGGGAGCCCAGCTTTGGAAGGAGAGGAGTCCAGAAGTGGAGTGCCAGCAGGGGAGCATTAACTTTCCTTGGTCTGGTAAACTCCCTGGTTCGGGACTCAAGTCCCGAAGGTGCTAGACCAGGGAAGTCGAACTTGTTTGAATGTGTACAATTAAAGAATGAATTTAATAGAATGTTTAATACAATTTAATATGAATGGGGGTCACTAGCAGAGAGCTTTAACCTATTTGGTAAATGTAACTTGTTATATTGAGGATAAAAGGGGAAGAAAGATTTCCTTCTCGAAATGTAACACACATAACAGAAGAATGTTTCAGACAAACTGTCACTCCTTCAGTTTATTTTAGCCAATATGAAGAGGCAACCAGTCCAGGAAAGTTATTTCTACCAGCAGGAAGGTAAACAGGTATGTACTTGTCATTTATAGCTGCTAATCTGATCTTAACTTGAATTAATGGGCCATTTTTCTGTAACAGCATTCTCAAATCTGTTCTACTGTTACATACAAAAGTACTATAAACAATGGAGATTAGGCTCTACCTGTAGATATTCCTGAATATAAACTCCCTGCTGTTTATCACTGAAAGTTATCTTTGTATCTGGTAACATCCTCAGGTGCCAGTGACACAAGACATTTTCCTTTAGAATCACTGTTTAATTCAATATCTTTGGTAATTTTCCCACTTTGAGTAATTTGTTTTTTTTTGTCTATAACTTGTAGCCAGAAAGTTTAGAGGTCTCTTCCCTTAAACACCCTCCTCAAAGTAAAATGTGATGACCTTTGGCTTAGCCATATATTTTTCAACCGTTTGAAAATATGTACTGGAAAATTCTTTGCTATTGCTTTATTATATTTGTAGAAGTTTAATTGTGGCAGATTATGCAGTTCGGGAGAGTGATGCACACTTTTGGAAAACAAAGCCAAGTTGTGCAGTGATTTACAAGGTCTAGTGCATCACCTGTACAGTACAATAGTCTAATTTTAAAATGAAAGCCCATTAAACCAGGGATCACTATTAAGTCTTGTTTAGTTCCATGTTCTAGTGATAAAGACTAGTCGATTCCCTCTTGCTGCCTCATTCAGTTACGAGCGTAGAATCAGGGTCAACTGGGGACTCCCCAGCTGATTCTAGGTTCTGCTGAAATGCCTCAGCATTTCAAAGAGGCAGCACTGAACAGCTGAGCCCAGGATCAGCTGTGCGGTGCTGCACAGTGGAGCCCCTGGGTCAGTGGGAGGAGTCCCCAGCTGATATCAGGCTCCAGCATGGCATTTCCATGGAACCCTGGGTCAGCTGGGGAATCACAGGCTGACCCCAGGCTCCACATGCAGCACTGCACAGCTGATCCTGAGCTCAGGGGCTTAGCTGTGTAGCACTGCCCCTTTGAAATGCTGAGGCATTTGAACGAAATCCGGAATCAGCTGGGGACTCCTCAGCTGACCATGGGTTCCGCACAGCATTTTCCCAGAAGCTGGGGTCAGCTAGAGACTCCCCAGCTGATACCGCATTCCTCCTTTGAAATATACAAGAGCCCCACTAGGGGGCTCTTGTACATTTCAAAGGAGGAATGTGGAAGTGCCTATGCACTAGTTGATGGAAATTCCATTGACTGTTTGACTAGTCAATTAATCACTAGTTAACATCCTTACCATGTTCCCCAATAATCAATAACATGCTGCAAAATGACTTTCATAATAACTACCTACAAGATAAAGCAGTATGAAATGCTTGTATTGGACCTATTTAGAACAATTTCTTGGACTTGCCTTCAAGTTACCTTAATGAACAGTGTTAACTAGTACATTTAGAAATTTATATTCCTATCTGGAAGCTTCTTGTACTTACTAATGTAACAAACTGCATTCTAAAAAACTTTTGGCAAAAATTTACTCCAGGCTCATTTTTCTAGCTTTGAAATGTCCAACCAGCTCTAGTAACAATTATTGCAGTAACCTATATTATTTGTCAGGTTTTGTTTGACAGCTTGCAGGAAGGGGTGACACTGACTCCAGCACTTACTAGTGGAGCAATGTGGTTGGGAGCTAGAGGAGCAGAGTGGGCTGGATCACTGCTTCCTGCTACCAGCAGTGAGCACCAGGGGTGGGGAACCCCTGCTACTAGTGCCATGGACCTGTGGGCAGAGGGGGATTTGGAGGAAAAGTTGGGGCCTGAATTGGAGGAAGGGGTGATTCTGGGCCCTGCATCCTTCTAGCGACAGTCCTCCAGGATAGAGAAGGTACAGGTGAGGAGCCACATGAGGAAATGGTCACAGCTCATATCCTCTTGTCCCTTCCCAACATGTCCCTATGTGCTAATGTTTGCACTGCTAGGCCTGTAGCTGCCACTCTGGCCACCCAACTCTGAAAGTAGCAGTGCAAGAAAGCGTTGCAATACTGTGCCTGCCCCCAAATAATCTTGCAACTCCCTTTTTTGGTCAGGACCCCCCAATAGGGTTGCCAAGTGTCTGGTTTTGAACCGGACAGTCTAGTATTTGAGCTTTCTGTTCAGGAAACAAATTGAGAAAATATAGATGTCCGGTATTTTCTAAATAAGATGTAATGTAGATTGTGATGTAATGTCAAATGTGTCCAGTATTTTTGTTGAAACCATCTGGCAACCCTAGCCCCCAATTTGAGAAACATGGATCGAACTGTCACAAGTATAAAATCACACACAATATCAGAGTTCATAGCCCACAATGAGTTTTTCAAGGGTGTGAATTAGGGACTGCAGCATGGACAGCAGCCCTTCCTGTTTTCTTTACTACACAGTGTGGAGGAAAGTTTTAAAAAACACCAAGGAGGAATGAATCCACAGTGCACATGTTGATTGCAGGGGCTGCACTAACCTTCTTCAGACTTGTTGTGACGGGTTTCGCTTTATTCCTGGCTTTCAGGGATTTGGTCTTGGCCACGTGGAACACGCTCTTCGCCTTTGGCCCCTTTGCTTTGCTCTTGCCCATGGCCTGGGGGGGGAACAATGTTGTTCGCTTTGTAACTACGGGCAGGAGCAGCGGCGCCTGCCAGCGGTTTCTGCGATCAAATCGGTTTCTGGGCCTGCTGCCCCAGTGAGCAAACCGGGACCGGGCGCTTAGGGGTAAAAGACCAGGAGCCCTCCTCGCCCGGCCGCAGCGGAGCGGCGCTGCGAAGTCCGGCCCGCGCTTCCCCACGACTCCTTCTGGAAGGCGGGGACGAGGCTTCGTTTCCGCCCCCGGACCGGCCGAGACATGACTAATGGGCGGGCGCAGCCGGCCTCTTGCCGCGCCGCAGCTAGAGCGCGGGGCCGGGCCGGCGGCGCAAAGGCTGCTCGGCAGCCGGGCCGGGCTGCTCCATGGCAACGCCCCGCTCCCCCAGCGAAAGCGGCCGGCGACTCAGCTGGCGCACGAGGGGCGCCCGCCCGCCACGTGACCCCGCGGGGCACTTACCGCCGCCCAGCGCTCCGCTCGCACAGTCAGCTTCTGCGCCAGCGGCCTGCGTCATCACAGGAGCGCTCCTGCAAGCCCCGCCCCCGCGTTCCCAGGCAGCGGCTGGGCAATGGGGGTTTCGGCCGCCTCGGGCAGCCTGCTCCTTCCCCCGGCGCGCGCCTGGCGGGCATGAAGCGGCCGCTGTGACACAAGGAGGCCCTGAGGCTGGGAGGGGCGCGAGCAGCGAGGGCGAATCCTGGCGCGCTAATCAGTGGCTCCCGTCCCCAGATTATTCACGGGGCTGGCTCCAAGCCGACACACCGGGAGCGAGCGCAAGGGGGCGGTGTTGCCCCGCGTGTTTCAGTGGGGGGTGCTGCTGCCGGGGACGCCTTGCTTCAGTTACCAAACAAGTGCCCTCTACAGGCACCCCCAAGGGCAGGGTGACTATCTTGCCTTCTGCTCAACACAGCACTCCAGGTAGACTAGACTGGCAAGTTTTTCAAAAACTTGCCAGCTGTCTACACTGGCCACTTGATTTTTGCGCAAAAGCACTGAGGTTCTACTGTCTGAAATCAGTGCTTCTTGTGCAAATGCTTTGATGTTCCCGTTCAGGCAAAAGCCCTTTTCTGGAAATGTTTTTGCGCAAGAGAGCCAATGTAGACAGCTGAAAACTGTTTTGTGCAAAAAAGCCCTGATGGCGAAAATGGCGATTGTGGCTTTCTTGTGCAAAACTGCATCTAGATTGACACGGATGCTTTTCCGTGCCAATCTAGACACTCTTCTGCAAATGCTTTTAATGGAAAACTTTTCCGTTAAAAGCATTTGCGGAAAATCATGCCAGTTTAGACATAGCCCTTATGATCAAGCGAGGTCAACAGCCACCAGAACTTTGCATTCCAGATGTTCAGTGTAACATCCCCTTGCCTGAATCCCTGCTAAACATAACTACTGCCTAGCTGGATTAGTTTATTTACCTTCTCGTTCTGAAGGCTTTAGTGTTCACAGGGGAGAGCACCATACATACTCCTCTACTCCTTCCTCACTCACCCGGTAACCAACAGACCTGATCCTACCTGGTGGATGCTCTCCACCCTCCTTACTGGACTGGCCTCCCAGGACAGACCCACCTCTCCTGGTACACGTGGATCGCTGGGAAGGGCCCTGCTCCATGAAGAGGGATGTGGAGAAGCAATGGGGCTGGGAGAAATGAAGGGCCTAGCAGGGAGAAGAGAGCAAGAAGGGGAGCAAGCAAAGGATGATGGTAGGAGGCATAAGTAATAACAGCACCATCTGGCACCTGCTCACTGCTGCTCACAATACATAGTCACTGCTGGCCAGAAACGACATAAGGGATGGGGCACTGCTGGATAAGAGCTGGCACATGGAAGGGGCTGTGCTGATAAATCAGTAGAAAAGCATTTGGCCCTGTACGGTGCAGCTTTGCCCTTTGCACACCCATCGCCATTGTTGGCAACTCAATCCCCCACTCGCTGCTGGTGGGCAAGTGGATGGCATGCAGGGATCTGGCCAACAGCAGGACCTACCAGGCTCATGAAGGGCAAACAGAAAATATGGAACAATTTGCCTGTTTTTAAGAAAAGGTTGGGACACTTGCAGACCTGCAGGAGAGCTTAAATACAGAACTGCCCTTTTAAAAATGAGACATCTGGTGGTCACCTTACCTTGAGATCAATCAGCTGTGTGGGTGTGACCAGCACTTGGAGAGCACATGGTAATGGACAGTGCTTGCATATTGACTCAATCCAGCATCCTAGTGATAAATATGATTTCTGTGGTGGTGCCCTGCCTTCCTGCCCACTCTGTAACCACACATTCATTTAGAAGTATCTGAATTGAAATGCAGGACACCTCCTGTTTAACTGGTGCAATTCTCATGCCTTTTGCTACTTCCCAGATGAAAGATTTCCAATTTAAGAATGTTATTCATCAAAGTGAGGAAAATAGTCTTTAGAGCGCTCTATAAAGATACAGGTCTGTTTGGATATGCAACCACACACAGCGCTAAAAAGAGGGTGAGATTGTAGGATATTGAACTCTCTCAAGTCCCACTGCAATCATTGTTCTGCAGGCTCAGGTCCCATTTTGGTTTATGTTTCTCAAAAATGAATGTCTTTTGCTTAAAAAATGTGAAAAACATTATCAGCAATACCTACATGTCAGGCCTCACTTGAGTTTATTTCTGGTTCCATTTTCCATCCTGTATGCATCACCTGTTCTAGCTATGTGTATGATTAAGTGCTTGAACAGGAATGTTTAGCTTGCTTAAAATTGAACTTACTTGAGTAGTGTGAACATAAGGCCAATTTTGCACTTCCTGGCACCCAGCAACCTTCAGCTACCATTGCTCTCAACAGAATTGTGTGTTTACCTCACTGCTCAGGATTGGGCTGTATCTTTGGCTCTAATATAGTCCCATTTATACAGTTACAATGGCTATACAACCTCTAGGAAAAGATGATGTTCAGTGTTTCTACTAACAAATCAACTGTGTTGTCTAGTGTGAAAACTAATTCTATGGTCAGTAGCAGCAGCAGCCTGCAGAACCATATTTAACAAAAGTAAGTGATGAGGATTGGACAAGCTACAAAATGTGGGGTAAAGAGTGGGCATATGATATCCCTACTCTGTCATCCATAATCCGCACCTGTAGTTGTGCATAGCAACTAAACAGCTGTTCCAGCAGGCTTTTGCACAAGTTTGTTTGTGATGAAGCAGAATGATATACAATGTCATACACTACAGAGTGCCACCTCATTTATAGACAGCATTTCTTATGTTCATTTGGCAGAAAGGATTTCTATTTTAATGTATGCTCTTCAAGGCTGACATCTTCTAATCTTTGTTATTGTAAAGTTCCTAGCACACTTTTGGCTGCTGTAAAACAGATGATTTCTAGAAAATACAACTTAACACAGGCACAGCCACACTATTACAAACAGTGGAGGCCCACAATACCTGCCATTGTGCTGTTAAAAGGCAAGAGGTATGGCTAATGCCTCTGCTGATTGTCCTGGGCTTGTTTCTACAATCTTGACTCACTCCGAACTCATGCTGACTACTATTAATGGAAATTGTATGTGAAAATGGCTGGGGCTCAAAGAGAACAGTTGGAGCAATATGCATAGGTTCCATGTGTTCCATTTCAGGCACCACAGGTATTCCCCAATGTAATATTCTAGTATACTAGTTTGATGGCTGTCCAACCAGTCAATGTTGACATAAGACAAGAGCAGCCAGTCTTTACAGTACATTTTGTAATTCACAGGTATGATGCCTTATTTCTATAGTTAGTGTTTGCTAATGTGCATTTTTGGGTATAGTAAAATATCCTTTAGTTATTTATCCTCAATTTATTCAGCAATTTTATTTATGTCATTGTCTTGAACCATGGAGGTGGCATAAGAGATGAAGCTGCACCTGGCAGGGCCAGGTGTTCATGGTGTATTATATGAATAAACAGATTTCTGAAAACTTGGGAACATGCTGTCAGATGTGTTAATAGCACATTTTGGCCCTTAACAACTGAAAAATGTCTATGCCACATATTTACTAAAAGCTGCTGCCTCACTTTTCCTCTCCTCAGCAGAACAGCACTACACACTTGCTAAAAACTAACACCTAACCCCTTATAAGATACAGCCCACACTGCCCCTTTACTGGCCTGAAAAGGAAGACAGAAAGATTACTTCTATTTTTAAATACTTGAGGTATGCTCAGATACTCTGGTGATTAGGGTCATAACATTCATAGATAGTTACAACGCCTTTTGCCAGTGTTATAATTTAGGACTACATCTACACTAGGAGCTTCTTGTGCAAGAACTCTTTTGTGGAAGAGTTCTTGTGCAAAAACTCTTCCAGAAGAGAGCGTCTACACTGACGTGCTTTTACACAAGAGATGTGCTTTTGCACAAAAGCATCCATGCCAGTGTAGACGCTCGTTTGCACAAGAAAGCTCCAATGGCCATTTTAACCAGAGGGCTTTCTTGCGCAAGAAATTCATGTTGCCTGTCTACACTGGCCTCTAGTGCAAGAACAGTTGCGCAAAAGGGCTTATTCCTGAGCGGGAGCGTCAGAGTCCTGGCGCAAGAAGCCCGGATTTCAGACATTAGAACGTCAGTTTACTTGCACACGAACACGCGGCCAGTGTAGACAGCCAGCAAGTTTTTGCACAAGAGCGGCCGCTTTGGCGCAAGATCGCGCCAGTGTAGACATAGCCTAGGTGTTTTCTTGACTCTCTCTTGTTTTTGACAGGAGAGGTTTTGGAGCCTTTGACTGAGTTGAGATCGGTTTGCTACTCGTTCTGTTCTGTTTGAAGCCCAGGTCTGCAATTGGAGCTATGCAGGCAGAGCTCTGCACCTACCTGGATACAGTTGAAGGACTGGGGCTTATCTGGATGCATGAGTGAGGAGCCTGAACAGGCCAAATGCTGAGCACCATGTGCTGACACTTATCCCCTAACAACATTAGACAGCAAGCAAATCTCCTCTGTCAAAAGTGCCACTATTAATGGTGGAGACGGGAGCAGCAAGGTTTGGAGCCAGATCTGAACTCGTCCCAAGGTTGGCCTTTTTCAGGTCCTGGGTTTGTGTTCAGGCCCGTCTCTGATGAATAGGAACAAATGATCCCATCAGTGGTTGGAATCCCAATCCTAGTGACGAGCAATGTGAGCGTGACTGTGCGCTGGTTGGGGCCCTACCCCCCCAAGCGGCGCGTGGCCACTCCCCGGGCTCAACCAGCCTTTATCAGTCCCTGCGCGTCTGGGAGCCGCCTGCCTCTTTCAAGAGCGTCCCGCGCCTCGCTCCGGCCAGCCAGACCTTCTGCTCCTCGCCAACTAGCAGGGACGTGGCCATGCTGCACTGGGGCTACGACGAGCACAATGGTGAGGGGACAGCTCCTGAGGGGGGTAGGGGACGAGCCCAAGTGAGAGGAGCCAACCTTGGATGGGCAGCAGTCGGGGTTGCATCAAGAGTTTGCTCCAACTTTTCGCCCTCTCCAGTGGGGGGGTGCGAGGAGCAGGAGGCTGAGTGCGGGCGCTGGGAAGTGTAGGGGACGAAGCTGTGGGGAAGCTGCCGGTGAGAGCAGAGGAAATGTGGTGTCTGAGCTTAGTTAGCAGGTTGAAAAGCTTTCCTGGGTCTGCCCCACTAATGGTCCTTGAGTCGATCGCTGTTCTGGCTATTAGCAGCAAACAGATGTCCCGCTTGGGAGCGGCTCCCTATGGGAGGGTTTCTTTTATGCCACGGGAGAGAGGCCGATCCTAGTGCCAGGCAGTGTTAGTGCAACAGAACCTTTGGCTCAAACAATTAGGCTTTAAAGTGGGACTTAGGCAGGGTTTTTTTCTTAGCAAACGAGCATTGTTGCTCTTGGGAGATAAGGGGTTTCATCCCTTAATAAGAAATATTGTCTTGTTATCAAGCGCTGTTAAAACTGTTAGTGGAAATATACCAACTGGCTTTATTTAGAATAGTTCTTCATGTTAATGGTCAATTGCAAACGTTTGCACTTGGAAGTATATATTTATAGCTGCTAAATTATAACTTTAAATACCTTTAGAATCTATTCAGTAGGAATTTTGATTCCCCCTCATATTTTTGCAGCATTAATTTTTGTTTTTTCCTATTTAGCACTGCTAAGAAAGTGCTTGTAAAAGAAATGCCAGCTTCCCAGCAGTCTGCTTTTTGCTTCTACATCTATCAGTCAGTCAATCATTGGTTCATATTTGTTATGAATGTGGTATCAAAGCACCAAAACTCTAAAAGCCAGAATCTGCCCTCTTTAGTGGAGATGAGCAATGTTTTACTCTGTGAAGATCTCCACTAAAATCCACTAAAACAATTTCCGCTACTTGTTGAGTGAGGCATGGCAAAATATACCCCTATAAAAAGAAAAAAATATATTGTGCAGTGATTCGGTGACAGTAACTGTTTCTTTCATATGAGAAGAGTTATCCAGATGATGCACTGACAGATTGCGAGTGGCTGATGGTTGTCAAAACTAGATACACAAACAGTGAAGATGTTCTTTGATCTCTTACAGAACTTTATACTTCAAAAATGATTTTGGCAACTGCTGTGTTTGTAAGAAGGTTTTGCTACATGGAGCATAACTCAAAAGAATATGTAGCAGGCTGAGTTGCATGTGCAGATAAATGACAGAACATTGAAAGTTGGGACTGTTTTAGTGTATACAGGCAGTCCCCGGGTTACGTACAAGATAGGGACTATAGGTTTGTTCTTAAGTTGAATTTGTATGTAAGTCGGAACTGGCTCCAGATTCAGCTGCTGCCACTGAAACTGACCAGGGGCTGACTACAGGAAGCCGGAGGCAGAGTTGCTCTGCCCCCAGCTTCCTGGAATCAGCCTGATCAGTTTCAACAGCTGCTGAATCTGGAGCCTGGGACAGAACAGCTGGGGC